TCTTCTAGTGTTCAAGTCCCTTTTTTTGAAAGCATCCTTTGGAAAGAAAATTATGTCTAGTTTTTTGTGCCTCTTATTGCTTTGAAAGTGAAAATTATGACAAGTGCCCTTCCTTACAATAAACTCGTGAATTGAGATAGAAGGTATACAGTTCACTTTCATCGATAGCTGGGGCTCTGTTTTGCACTTAAATCTATCTTTTTGCATAGCAAATGAAGGGGCAACAATAAGGAGGTGAGGCCCAGACTAGACACAGCCCCGAGAAACTGGTTCCTACCTCACACTGCAAGTGATGTGTATATGCAATACCTTTAAAATGAGAAAGGCAGCCTTTATTTCAGATTTTCTCGCAAGAGGCTAAACAGCCAAGAGGTGTGTGGGAGAATGTCTACCTTACTCAGGGCCCTGAGCCAGCCAGATGCACTTTTCATAAACTTTTAGCAAACTGTCTGGCCTAGGTTTGTCTTATACTCCGTGTCAGTGTTTTATTTATGATGACTCTGTTTGTTTTCTGCCCTACAATAAAACAAAGAGAATATTGTGTGATTAAAGAAAAGATTTTTCTTATTGTCAATGTTTAGATTTATCAAGGATTTAGACAATATAGAAGCAATGTTTCATAACATTAAATGTATTTAAAAACAACTCATCCTTTTCTGTCCTTTTGTTTTTACTTAATAATAATCAAGCTAAATCTGAATATGACACAAAATAGACTAATCTTCCTTATTTTATATAAAATTATTCTAGAACTGCAGCTCTCTGTTCATTTCCTGTACTAGGAGTGGTTTTGTTTTTAACAGTGGTTGGAGCTTTGCAGACGTTTCAGCAAAGACAAGGTGGGACATTTGCTTCTCTAAAATACTCAGAGGTGAATTTCAGTTAAGATAGAGCTTTGCAAATTTGAGAATGGATCTGAAGCTTCATCCAAGAATTCACCAGCTTGCTTCTGCCCTTCCAAAAACCCCTTACCTTTGTGATATTGCATTCCTGGGAACTCGTTGTGGGGAGCTCTATGCAGCTGGTACCAATTCTCTTGAGATTTCCCAGGTAGATCTAAAGCACCAAAAAATGTGTTCCAAGCTTCTGCTTATTCAAATTGAGTTGTTTGAGGCTTACTCAATCCTACTGTTCAGCTTGGAGCAGAAGTAGGAAAGAAAGAAGTGTCTGATTGCACAAGGCCTAGTCATGTGATCAGGTCTAGTTGAATGACATCAATCTGCTATTGGGATGCCTTATGTAAGTAAAGCTTGTAGAAACTTCAATTCTGTATCTGCTGTTCCTGTTAACAAATTAGAAGAGTTGAGAGCCAAAAGCCATTATTTAACCCAATGAATGTTTATCTGGCAACTTTCAGCCTGTGTTAGAGACGCACAGGCATGGAAAAGCTGGCTCTTGCTTTTGGAAATACATTCAAGCACATCTCAATGTGAAATCAGCTTATGTAATTGGTGCCCTTGTTTATCTGGATTTATCAACATTATTAGCATGGTTTCTAGGAAGGTGTCACTTGCTAGAGCAGCTTTAAGTGGCAAGATCCTTTGGCCCACCTCACTGGGAAGCTGGAGTCCTTTTAAATATGCCATCAAAACACTCCTACACTGCATGTTGTGCCAAAAAGAGGAGACAAAGCCTTGCCAGGCAGCACCTTGCTCCTTCAAGAGCTGATGGCAAGCCATAGCCTATGGCAGGATGTTTGGAAACCCATTGAAGGATGTTGATTTAGATTTATGGTAATTTCTGAACTGGCCTATGTGCTAAACTGAAATATGTTTGCCTTAGTATTTTCAAATAACACATTTTTAGGTAAAAAAATTACAAGAGTTTTGTTTTCTAATTTGCTTATTAACTATATTGATCAGGGAAATTAATGCATCTCCCCCCCCCCCACCAAATCCCCACTTTGGGGTCCACATGAAAAACGTGACATCTCACATGGAAGTCAAGAAATTAAAAGACTAAAAAAAAAAAAATCAGTGTCTTGGATTTTCTCACCAGATGGAAAGGAGATTTACAGCTATTTCAGCTTCAGCTCCTTTTGAAAATACTGACTCTAAAGATGTATTCAATACCTGCATGCAGAATGAATCTACGGTGGATCTACAGTGGTGCACATAAACTGAAGTTACAGAGATGTGGGACACGAGTAGGCTTGAGTCTGGAGCTGGTGGTTTTCTCCTGGCCACAGCCACATTCTGCTCATTGCTTCAGTAAGTCAGTAAACTGAGAGCACTGTTTCCTACCTTTTGCCAGTATCAAAAGCTATAGCTGATTTTAATATAATACAAATATGGAGCAGAGATTCCCTTTAATTTATTTAGTGAGATTTACTGAGATTTTAATGCTATATGTATTTTTTAAAAAAGAAGGCTAAGCGGAAAAAGAAAAGTCAAAGGGCTCCAGATGTTTCCAATTTTGCAGTCTTGTTTTGATTTGGTATCATCAACCTAGAGGGTTCCTGAGTACACCATCTAATTGATGCATTTGGAAACGAGTTTCTTTGGCTTCTGGGGTAAGCAGAATCTGTCCGCTTTTATTTGGCAATTTATCTTAGAATGCCCATATTCATGGTTAGTCTTTGCTTTGCTACTGTTAAACAGTTAGGCAAGAATTAACTGGATGTTGTTTCTCCACTTAGGCAAAAGGCTTGTCAGTATTTGCTATGACTATGCAAAATCTGTTTCACGTCAGATGACTATCTGGAAATGGACTGTTATCTTAAAAAACGTAATGACCTCGACAGAAAGATGGTAGGTAGAAGATTTTTTTATTATTATTATTATTTTTCAGAACATATTTGATGGGTAAGATCATGAAAATAAGAATGGTTAGTTTAACCTTAAAAGAAAAAAATTAACAGGTTCATTTTTAGGAAAGAAAACAAAAAAATTAAAGGCAAAAATCACTGACAGGACTAAAAATTAGCCAAGTGACAAAACCCCACGAAACTGACAATTTTTTTGCTGTCTTTAAACTCTCCTTCATTTTCCACCCCAAACCCATGGGCACAGGGACTCCTGGTAATTCTGTTCATTAGATACATGCACTCTTTGAAATTACTATATTGAAATAATGGAATTAATTATTGTATTTTCGATTTTTTTATATATTACGTGAAAAAGCTACAAAGCAAATATCAGCCTTCGTATCAATTCCTTTACTGGTAAGGATTACATTCGACATCCTGAACGGCTTTCTCCCTTTATCCCGTCTCTCAGACCTGCATTTCAGACTTCTAGTGGCCTCTAGTGGTTCTTTGAAATTTGCCCATATCTTCTCCAACTATTTCTGCTTGTCAAAAAAGCAGTGTAGTAGATAATAGATAAGTATTTGCATAGCCCAAATTTGTACGAGCATTGTGTTGTCCAGATGCTCTTAGTCTTTGTTACCAATTGAGTACAAAGGCTGTGTGTGTTGTTGGACTGAGGTGTAAATCTTGAGGGTTGCTAGAACTCTATTAGAGAGAGGTAAATGCCAGAATAATGCACTAGATACTCACAAAAAGAAGAAAACTTGGGTCTTCTTGCCCTTAGAAGTTCCCTAAACCCCTAGATACAGATAAAGAAAAAAGATAAAGCTTGTGGGGTTTTTTTGTTTGTTTGATTTGTGTGTGTGTGTGTGTTTGTTTGTTTGTTTGTTTTCCTTGTGTACTGTAGGATCCAGGTAGTTGGTTGGTTTGGTTGTAGTTTGGTTTTTTTCCTGAAGTTATAAGTATTTTAAAATACAAGGTGACTATTCTGTATACACTGCATGAAAGAACACTTTTCAGTGCATGAATCCCTATTCTAGATAAGATATGCTAATGGTATCAAGAATGATTTAAACTCCTCTCACCTATCCCAATGATCAGGGGTGACAGAAGGGAAGTCAGGGTTTAAGGTGAGGGAAATTAAACTGCAAGATGGGAAGGTGGGCAGTGCTGCGATCTTAATAAGAGTTTGAGAGAGAAAATATTAACAGGAGATGATGTTGGATTTATAGGAGTGGTGTTGAGCTTGTGGTGGTAGCAGCATGGTGACTGTGGCAGCTTGCTCTCTCCTGGTTGATTGCCACCAAAAAAACAAGAGAAAATGTTTCCACAAACCTACGCACCATATCGGCATGGGATGTACTTTGGGTTTGACTACTCTTTGCCAAACCTCCTCTTTGGCTTTGGATACTCCCTAGAAATTCCCAGTTTGGCTCCCGATCCCCTGTGAATGAAACTTTGCCCATTTTTGTGTTAGGTGACACCATGCTGGTGCTCTCCTGTAAGATGCTGAGGGAAGTACCTCAAGAGCAGGGCCCAGAAGCGCTCTTCGTGGTATAAAGTGGTATGCTTGCACCAAAACGGGATTTATTTACTTTATTTATTTATTTTTCTAATTTACTTTTAGCAACACGATGCCTTACTTCTTGGGCAGAAAACAGTGTCTTTAAATAGCTTCTACGCCCCCACTTGGGGGCTCCCCAAGCAGCCGCTCGCC